AGCCATAGAATGGCTCTCAAGACACCTAGACACCAAAGTAACAAAAAAGTATTCTGCTGTCCTCTATACACCCACAAAGTTTGGTGAAATTTGCATTCGGGATATCTGAGTTATAGACCTCAAAGCAGGTTTCCCCAGGAAAGTGCATTTTAGCAACTGGCTGGGGAAAATTTGAAGAGTGGTTCATGCCAGGGTGGACTGGGGAAGACAACACCCATTCCCCAAACCTCATGGGTAATGCCACGGTAGATAGACTGCCCTGCACAGAATGTGTCGCTGGAGGTCTGAGGTAAGGTGAAGAGGTTGTTGTGTAGTCAGTGGTGGTGGGGGGAAGTAGACAGACTGCTAACATGGGAAGCAATGTGCCATTGGATGTCTGAGCTAACCTGGAGAGGTGACTATGAGGCAGCAGTGTTCCTCTGACTTACAGAGTTGATTCTAAACTAGAAGGTTTCCTTCTGACTTACAGAGGTGGCTGAAAGGCAGGAGGTTTCCTCTGACTTACAGTGGTGGATTGGTGTAACCCAAGTATAACAGTGGATGCCATAGACAAGCAAGATGAGGCTCAAGAGTGTTTGGGGATCGGTATCACCTCCGCATCCATGGCTGATGGTGATATTGAAACCAGTGGAGATGCAGAGGAGGCACAGTGCAGTTTGTTAACTGTTTTTCTGGCCAATTGGTCCTACTCAAAGGAGTGCATTCTTGGTGGTGATGTAAGCTAAGATTGTGCCTCCTGGTGATATGGGGTGTCTACACAGACCAAGACATCATTCTCTGACAGGAGTAAAACTGTAGAGAAGACCACCTGTTGGGGTTTGGCCTTCTTAAACTTTGACTTCTACAGCAGTGATTTTCCACTTCTGGAGTAGTCTTGGTAGATTTGAATATCTATGGCTTTAACACCAAAGGTTTTGATGTTGAGGGCGCGGACTCTAAATGTGGGGTTGGAGTCACAATCTGTAACTGCTGCCATGATGGTTGTTTGGCCAGCACTTGGTCAGTGCATGGTTGTAATCAGTCCAAAAGATAAAGGGTCCACTATTTGATGGGTTTCCCCCCCAGAGGTGTGTATCTAGTTTGAGAAGGGTGAGGGAATGTAATGTGTGCGTCTGTCCACCTAAAGGTGGTGGAGACACCCTGGGGATTCCTTATCCCATGAAAACAACCCTTCCACAGAACCTAGTGACAGGCAGGCAGGTGGGGCAAGAGGGGCTGGAAATAAGACTCTAATTTTCAAATAATGGATCATGAGAAATTAAAATAAACCTTTGGAATTGGTGTCTCAAAACAAAAGGAAAAGGTGGGGGGGAGGAAGGAGGTGAAAATTGATCCTAAAATACCCACCTACCCACACACAGACCTCTTCCCAGCCATGAGAGTTAGATAAATTAAAAAAAAACCCCACAACTAAGTCCTCACTTAAAGAGCAGGCTGGGGGGGATAAAAATAAATTAAAATTAATCCTAAAATAACTGTTCCATACACAACCTCAAATAAGGAGGACCTAAGTACCCATATAAAGAAACCCTCCTCCAAATCCCAGTAGTTCAGTTTAGTACTGTGAATAAGTTCAGTTAAGTGCCTACCTAAAACAGTCTCTCCTGCTTAGAACAAAGGCTAAAGCAGAAATTATAAAATAGTTGCTGCGTGCTCCTCTTATAAATATTAAGAAGCAACTGCCCCAGAGCACATCGAGCAGCATATTTGGCTGCCTGACCTGCCCATCAAATTGTCCCTAGGTCCCGCTGAAGACTGTGGGGGCAGGGCCAGGACAAAAACGGGCAAAATGAACCCCCTCCATCACTTTAAAAGTTCCTTGGTTCAGTTTGTTTTCGTTTGTCGATTTTTCCGAACCCAAACCAAACCAATGAACCAGGCCATTTCGATGAATTTTGGAGTTTGTTTTCCATTCGTGCCCATCGCTAGACACTTTTCATCTTTCAGAAGGTCATCTACCAGGTATCATTCTGGGATACTGTGATGGTGGTGGGGAGTCTTCTACCAAAAACGTGTGATTAGGAAGGCTACTGGTCGTCACAGCAGGGACTGTATCAAGAAACAGAGAAGAGTCACACATACTCCACAGCCACCTCATAAAAAATCCAAGCAGAAGAATCCTAACCCTCAATCATAATAATTTTTAAAAGCTTGTCTTCTACTCTGAAACTAATTTTCAAATGACTTTCTTTCCGGTCAAATTGTTTCTTTGTGCCACTGGCTTATGAGGCAACAGTCAGTGATAATACATACAAAGACTTCCTTTGTGGTGCTGCAACCCAACCCGCAAGATGCAAACACACTTACCTCCTCCTCTTGCCCTTCCCCCGTCTCTCACGGTTTGTGGTCACCACTACTGCCATCCATCCTGCAGTGCCCTCTCTTTAATGGGCTCACTACTCTCCATGGGAAGAGGGGAGCTCGGAAAGGTCCCCCATAGATATGGGGGTCTAACTGTATGTATGTATGTATGTATGTATGTATGTATGTATGTATGTATGTATGTCTGCGTGCGTGCGTGCGTGCGTGCGTGCATGTATGTATGTATGTATGTATGTACACTATGTATCTATGTATCTATGTAGGAATAAATAAAAGGAGTAAGATTATGAGGTAGATATAGTAAAAATTGTAAACCTCAAAGAACTCTGTATTTGGCCATTCTGTGAATAAATACAGGCTGATCCAAGAGAGTGATACAAAACGTAGCTTGTTTCCCCTTATAATTTTTGCTTCTTGGCTTCCTTATAATTTTTGCTTCATACAGAAGAGAAAGGTTATTATATGAGTTTATTGAACAAACCTAGATTTTATAAATAATTGCCTGTCAGGCTGCTCAAGACAGACAAATATACAGCAGACCAACAAAAACATGATCTGTCATATTTCTAAGAGAAATATATGTTGATTTTTCATTCTCTTAGGCGGTAAGTGTACCAAGTAAGAAAGAAATGCCAGTGCTTTTTCTGCTTATGCATTTTTTAAACAAATGTAAAATCTGGGAAAGAGACAGCTAAAGAAAGAATTTTTATTCCAGTATTCTTGGCCCCAAATGTTTTCTTTTGCCTATATGCCTGCAGATCGAAACCAAATACAATAAATGCTGGTGTCCTTTTTAAAAGTCTGGATGTTTACAGCAAGCATATAATTTTCCATCATTATGGACGCCAAGAAAAATAAGAAATCATGATAAAAAGAAAGGTTTAATCATACATTTCAGCAAGCAGACAGAACATCAGAAATTTTTTACTTCTTTACTGTACACATTGTTTTATTCTTTAACATGCAGATTAGTTCCAGAAAAATGACATGCAAAAATGTTTTAAAACTACAGTTTTGATGCTGTAGACAGTATAATACTGAATGTATCAGTCAAATAATTCTGTAGAAAAAGAGCCACGTTTTCAGTTTTAAAGTTTGTTCACTGAGGAGATTGGTCTGTATAACAATTCTATCACTTGTTTGTGAATGTCCTCCATTTTGGACATTTAAAATTCTTGGCTCTTGTGATTACCTTTGCTGCATTTGCCAGTGAGGTCAACAAGTTCCAGTCCAAAATGACAGCCAAAGGAAAAAAAATCTCACCACAAGCTGCTTAGCTCTCACCACGGATTTAGTGCTGTATGTTCTATATAATTGTCATGAAGAACAAAGAAAATACCTGGTGCATGGAATGGACAAATATGGGATTTGGCTTTTGGGCAGATTGGGGTGTGTTGGGTGGTGGTGTAATTTTGTTCTGGATATTTGTAGTTATGCTACGAGTAAAACATTTTTAATAACTCGGCTCCTTTGAAATTAATATTTAAAAATGAATATACAAGCTGAACAACAGCAGCACAAAAGACCAGCCAGATGAGAAACAGATGGGATATAGTGAAGACAGCTGCTGTCTTCTTCAGGAGGGAAGGAGTTGCCACAGTCAAATTACACAGCTCAACAAAATATTGAAAGCATACACAAGCAAAGGAAAGCCTTCATGTAGTCATTACTAAGATTTTTTCTAAGGCCTGTCTTAGGTGTCTTAAATTTAAACACATGTTATATGATCCTAGTCACGGTCTCCAAATGCCCAATATTTAATTATGTAGGACAATCCACATGGTTCTGGGTAATGAGATGTTCCACACATTCAGTGGGAGATCTTCATTCCACAATTTTGTTGAAAAGAATGAAAAATAACCCCCACCCCTGCCAGACTGAAGCTGAAAGATTATTAATCAATAGTTTGTATTTTTCCAGGCTCTCCCCAAGTGATAAGAGAAGTTAAACATAAAGCAAAAATAGACTCTGTTAAAACTGAATGCACACTTCATTCTTGCAATGGATAATAGCCCACATTTCTTGCACAGCTATTCTGGTGTCAATTGTGAACTTTTGGAGACAAATTGCCGTATGATGTCTATATTGATTTCTTAACCCGAAGCAATGTGCCTCTACAACAGGGGTGGGCAATTAATTTCTATAGGGGGCCACATGAAAAATCTGAACTATGTTAGGGAGTTAACTATGTGAGCATTGTAATTCGTTCACCGCGGGGGGGGGGGGGGGGAGAAAAAAACCCTGACACTGAGCTAACTCACCTGTCCTCCGTTCCCCCGCAGCCTTCCTCTCCGACTGTCTTCTATCCTGCGGAAGAATCACTTCTAGTCTCTTGAGCCGCAGGCTCCACAGCCTGTAACTCAAGAGTAACAGTCAAAACTCATGAGATCCTGTACATAGAGTGATTATCCGAGAGAGGCCCAGAAAGAAAGAACAAGAAACCGGGCCTTCTCGGTGGTGGCCCCTCGACTTTGGAACAGCTTGCCATCAGAGATTTGCCTGGCACCCTTGCTGGGTGTTTTCAAGAGCCAATTAAAAACTTGGCTCTTTAGGCAAGCCTTCCCTCCTGCCAATATTTGACTTTTTACTTTTCTTGGTTTTCTTATTTAGCCTCCCATCTTGATTATAGTATTATTGTAGATTTTAACTGTTGTTTTAAGTTGCTTGTGCACAATATATTGTGAGCCACCCTGAGTAGACTCCTGTCTAGAAGGGCGGGATAAAAATCCAATAATAAATAAATTATAAACAATCCAAGCACACTCAACACAGAGGAGCACCAGACTGACTTGCTTTTGTATGGTATTAGCTACTTTGAGTGGGTGCTTTAGTCTTATAGGTGGATTTATTTAGTAGTTAATATCTCATAATGCAGTAACAATACTCTGATAGAATTTTTTTTAATTATTTCCTTACCAAAAACACAGTAAAGACCCCTACTATTATTTCCATATTGTAGATGACAACTAAGGGGTGATGGTTGTCCAGCAAAATCAGAGCTAAACTACCATTTTATATTAAGGATAGCTCAAAACTCATAGAATGCATGTCATTTTCAAATTACATTGAACGGCGGTGAACTTTATAAGCCCAGTTTAACAAAAATTCACCAATCATCACCCTACAAAAATATTTTAATGATTATGAAACAAGGAAACACAATTTGTTGCAGTTTAATACACAGAAAATAAATCATCAATGTGGAGACTTCTATCTGACCACTTTTATGAAAGTTGAGATGGAAATCAACTAAAATTAAGAACAACAAAAACATACATTATAATAACAATCTTAGAACATTTAAGTTTAGAAAGGTGGGCTGACATTGCAGTAAAATGTCCAACATCATGTGGACTGCATTCCCATCCACCTACACAATGTGCCAAACTTCCTGCTATTAATTAGCCCAATGTTATGTTTAGAAGACAAAAGTTACAATTGAGAAGGTTGGAAAAAGAGACAGTCAGCTGGCTCATATAGTCACAACAAGCCAGCCTACTGAAAAGTACACATTCAGATGGTTGGGGTTTCTTAACATTTATTTTTGCCCCTCAATGAAGGGATGGGAGGATGGGAATCACCTTGATGTAACACTGTCTTTCCTGTTGCTGTAGCCACATCCACATTAGCAAGCAAGAAAAGTCATCCCATTTCTGCGGTAGGCACTCTGTCAAAGAAAGAAAATCTGTAATGAATTATCACATCAACTTGAACAAGGAAAAGAAGCAGAGAGCAGAGCAAGGCTTTCTTCCTGTTTTGTAGACTATTCTGGCTGCAATCTAATAGCAAACTTAATCTTAACATTTCTGGTGGGGAAGCATTAAGCAACCACTTTTTCTATTAAAAACTCAGTGTGGTTAGCAAGTGGTTAGTGAGATTCTATTTCAGGACATGTGCAAAAACATGACATCCTATTTGTTAATTACCAAATAAATATATACATGGAAGTCAAAACTCCTATTATTTTAGGTTTCTGGCCTTCGCAAACCTATACAATCTCCTCACTTTGTAGAAGTTTCACTGTTGTCTTAGAATAAATTACTCTGATATTTTTCTCACAGTTTTTCTACACTCCAGGCTAACAACTCTTTCAATTATATAAACAGAACTCAGTATCACAACAATACCCGTCCAGTCATCCCTCTTTTTATCTGCCAGATGATTTTCTTCCAGGAGAATTGTTGTCTCTGACACTGGACGAAGTCCATTTATTGGAGTTGAGTTAATGTATCAGTGGGGACACAGCAAGTCAACACTTATGTAAGTCCCATTGACTGAATTGGCCTACCTTAGATGAGAATGGACATTGGGTTTAGGCTTTGCCTTGTGCGGCAGGGAGAGAAATGATTCAAGTCACTGTCACAACGTATGAGAAAAGTATAACATCAATCAGCATCACAGCTTACAGTATCAGCTGATTGCTTCCTCCCCCACACACACATTATGCCCACTTGGAGGCAGTGATTTGGCTTCCTTGCCCCACCTTCTCCATGTGCTGCCTGCTTTGAAGAACAGAACACCCGTCATATTAATAAACAAACTGGCACAAACCACAAAACCAGAGGTTTCTGCTCATCTCTAGTCAAGATTAAAAACAATTTTGAAAATATTTTTAAAAACATGTTTAAAAACCTAAATTTCTTGAATAGAGCATTCCCAGAATAGAACTGAAAAGCTTCCCTGAAAAGGAAGGTCTTTGCCATACAACAGCAATATGTGTTTTATAAATAAACTCTGCATTAATAACATAAAACATTAGAAATTTAAATTGAAAGGGTGGGGATATCAGATTAAGGAGGAGTGAAAATTTGTGTGAATTCCCTTGGATTGTTAATCAACAAAAAGTCTGGTATGAGCAGGAACTGACAAGCCACTCCAGTATCTTTGCCAAGAAAACTTCATGGACAGAAACA